TATACTTAAAAAATTATTAAAATTAAAATATAAAAATTCAAAAATTTTAAGTGAAAAGATAAAAATATACTTAAAAAATTATTAAAATTAAACTATTTAAATATATAATAATATTATTACAAATAAATTAGAATATATAAAATAAAAATAAAATGACTAAATAATTTAAAAATTAAAAGAATAAAATATCATAAATATTATTTAAATAAATTATTAAAAATATAAAATATAAAAAATTGTACCGGTACCCTCTCAAATAACATGAGTACCATATAATTTCTCTTTTTATATTTTAAATAAGAATGGTCCAGCCGAAATAAAATAGACTAGGAGCAGTCAGAGGCAACAACGTCACTATACTCAAAAAGCATACCGTTATTTCTTCCTCTCTTCTAGGAACTGCAATGCATTTCATTTTTTTCATTTTTCTCCTTTATTATGTTTTTTACTTACAAATAAAAGAGTCCCTCAATCATTTTTTATTTATTTTTTTAATAAGACCATTTTTTCTTTCTAATAAAAACTTCCATTCAATAACTATATATTACATTTCTATTACAAATGAAAATTTTCATTAAGTAACAATTACAATTGTTTTCAAAGTTATTATTTTTTAATGAAAAATAAATAGAGACATTCCTCACTCACCAGTTAGTATAACATGATATGATTAATTTATATGATTTTATGAGCACTTGAGCTATATAATGAGCTTCCAGCTAGGATTAATTAATATATATGCCCTAGCTAGCTACAGAGCTTTAATTATTTATTTATTTATTAAACTATACTATTCTTTGTAACTCTAGTCTACTGATTGATATATATATATATATATATATATATATATATATATATATATATTTATGGATATATGCTCTCTGAAAATAAGAAAGAAACATAGGAATAGGCATGGCTTACAATCCAAACAAGGACAGGATTTTGGGTCCAAAATTTCAAGTGTCTTCTCCCAAACGATGTCTCTCTTGCAAATCTGAACCGTTCAGGATCTGCATGTCATAAACAACACACATGAATATATATTGCACCTATAAATGTGAGTTTTCAAACATTATACGAGTACCCCTCTTCTTCCAAATTATTACAAATGAAAATATATTTAATTAATATAAAAATATTGTTGTACTTTAATTAAATTATCTTTATTAATAATTAATGATAGTTAAGTAGGGGAGAGAAAGAAAAGTATTACTAATAAACGAGGAATGATACGTGAAAAGAGTGGTGATAAGAGACATATAGTTATTAAGTGAGGAAATAATTCTTTTTATAAAAAAAGTCTTAATTAGGGAAGTCTGAGACATGAATAATTTTGAAATAGAAGGAGTATATTTATATTTATATATTGATATATGCATGACGACAAACCGTGTGAAAATTGGTACTCTGCTGTCTTGGTTTCCTCTTCCCATCGTTTCCACCTTCTCATCTATTGTTGCAATTAATTCAACAAAATAAGTAACTGGATCAGATGTATCCAAAGATGTATATATATATATATATATATATATATTTATGGATATATGCTCTCTGAAAATAAGAAAGAAACATAGGAATAGGCATGGCTTACAATCCAAACAAGGACAGGATTTTGGGTCCAAAATTTCAAGTGTCTTCTCCCAAACGATGTCTCTCTTGCAAATCTGAACCGTTCAGGATCTGCATGTCATAAACAACACACATGAATATATATTGCACCTATAAATGTGAGTTTTCAAACATTATACGAGTACCCCTCTTCTTCCAAATTATTACAAATGAAAATATATTTAATTAATATAAAAATATTGTTGTACTTTAATTAAATTATCTTTATTAATAATTAATGATAGTTAAGTAGGGGAGAGAAAGAAAAGTATTACTAATAAACGAGGAATGATACGTGAAAAGAGTGGTGATAAGAGACATATAGTTATTAAGTGAGGAAATAATTCTTTTTATAAAAAAAGTCTTAATTAGGGAAGTCTGAGACATGAATAATTTTGAAATAGAAGGAGTATATTTATATTTATATATTGATATATGCATGACGACAAACCGTGTGAAAATTGGTACTCTGCTGTCTTGGTTTCCTCTTCCCATCGTTTCCACCTTCTCATCTATTGTTGCAATTAATTCAACAAAATAAGTAACTGGATCAGATGTATCCAAAGATGTATATATATATATATATATATATATATATATATATATATTATATACACACACAACTTCTACTATATTAATATTATTATACCTTTGCTTTACCTAAAGCCAGAGTGAGTATGCAGTAAAGGACATGAAAAACAGCGAGCACGAAGATAAATATATGTAGTTGGTGAATACCCTCCGATGAGACAAACGGGACTTTACCCTATATATAGCATGCATTTTAACAATAAAAACTTAGTTAGGTTTCTAGACATAAATAAATAAAACTAAAGTAGTAATTAATGTGCATTTATCTTGCCCAGCTTTTGATAAATTTAATTAGCTAGCTAGATTTGAAAAAAAAATAAATTAAAATATTTAACACCGAATAAAAAAGGTTGTATATATAGTTAGAATAAAGTTAAAAATAACTACCTTTAAATGAAAGGAGTAAAAATTAAGTCACTCTCAAATACAGTACAATATTATTATTTTTTTCAACCTGTCGCGCTGTTTTTTTGATTAAGATAAGGTTATACAATGTTTACTGATTTCTAGAACACATTTCATTTTCATTTTTTTTTCTTCTTCTCATGGGTTCCTTACTGCTGGAAGTTTCTAACCTTGAATTCACGGCAAAGAAAAATGCTCATTGGTTTGTCTAGTTACTTGAAAAATGACCGTGAATGCATTTCTTATTACGAAATTAAATAAAAGAAATGAATTGTTTTTTTTTTATTAATGAAGCACATGAGCTGATATTGGTTTTGTAGCTGGAGAGCATGCAAATGCAAAAAGAAAGTGAAGAGAAGGTTGTGGAAGTGTCTGACGAAAGCAATCATATAAGCGACGTACGTGGGGACACTTGTCGGTTCCTCCGGCCGCCAAAATACGACGGTGATTTTGGTTATCGGAAAGTAATCTCCGGCGACTACTGGTTTGATGATGATCCTTTGGGCAGGGGTGAAATGTGTCGGCAACCTTTTCTGTTATACAAATCCTCGATATTACACCTTGTCCTACTGTTAGTAGCAACGATATGAACCCCAATAACATAAGCTCTGCAATTAATCCAACATATTCATCAAGTTATTTAATATTCGTACGTACCAAGGTATATATATTATAATATATGGTTCAGACTCGCACCTGATTTGATTTTTTCGAGTGACTCAAATAGAGCTTTTTTGTGCTTCTTTTGCAACCACTGATCTCTCATATATGCATGGTTAATTAGTATAATTAAAATTATATGTATAGTTAAAGTTACAGATGCAGTTAATTAATATTACCTTTGCAATGAGATGGAAGATGTGGTCGATGAAGATAGATATGGAGAGCAAAACGAAGCAAACAACGGCCACAGCCCAAGTGGGCGTTTCCTCTAGGCTTCTTCCTGCCATGCTTGATACTATTTAATTTTGTTATTCCTATGAATGAATTAATGTAAGACTAGATGTATAAATAGATAGAAAAGTGATGGGTATGTGGGGGGGACCAAGTTCTAGAAAGCTCATGCTAGCTCCCCCAAATTGAACGGAGAAATCTTTATCTTAGTTGGGGGGGACTCATGCCTCATGACTGGTGGGGTTGGGGTGAGGTTCGCAGCAACAACACCATTTACTTGTTTGCATTATATATATATATATATATATAAACACAACTCACTATTTTTGTGTATATAAAAATTTTAAGATATTTATTATTTTTTTATGATAACTATACACTTTTCTTATAATAATAAAGGATAATTTAATTATTATTACTTATTTAAATAACATATTAAATTATATTTTTAATCTTTTATTTTATTTTTTAGATTCATTTTAATTCTTTATCTTTTAAAATGATCATATTTTGGACTTTCTCCTATATTTAAGTCAATTTAATCATTTTAAAATAATTTTTTACATATTCAAGATTTGAAATTTGTCTCATAAGATTCATTTATATAAAAAAAACTATTAAATGTAATTGAAATTCAAACCAAATGTATTATAAACTACAAAAAATGTTACATATAGTGACATACAAAAAAGTGTCATTATAATTAAATACAATATATGCACGTATAAATTTATTTGACAAAAAAATTGTTGCATCAAAGGAAGTTTATGGATTAGGGATCTAACTGTTTTCAATTTGGCATTATTGGGAAAATGGAAATAGAGGATGTCAGTGGAGAATAATAGTTTGTGGGTAAAGGTAATTAATTCCTTGTATGGAGACCATTTGTTCATTTCAAGTGGGTTAAGGGTGAAGGATTTCTAGATGGTGGGTTGACCCGTGTAACATTGAAAATGATAATATGGTTACCATAAATTAGATGACAAATAGGTGTAGAAAGGTGGTTAGGAATGAGAAAACATATTTCTAGGAGGAAGATTGGTTGCAAGGAGGTATGTTGTCACAAAGGTATAATAGATTGTATCACATTAATGAAAATAAGAAAGCTGAAATCTCAGATTTGGTAGTTTGGAGGAATAGAGGCCCTGAGTGGTATTGGAGATGGCGTAGAGAGTTATTTCAGTGGGAAGAAGATCTATTGAATTCTGTTACAACAGAAATTAGTGAGTTAAATCTGAAGGTTGATGTATAAGACTGTTGGAGTTGGATTGCTGATTCCAGTGACATTTACTATATCAAGTTTGCATATAAGGAGATTAGAAATGATAGAATTTTTGCATCCAATAAATTTTTTTCAAAAGTATGGTCACAGGTAGTTCCAGCAAAGGTTACGACTTTCGCTTGGAAGGTAATTCTTAATCGAGTTGCTACTAAACACAATTTGTTTATTAGAGGTATTTTGGATAGTTCACAAGTTGAGTGCCCTCGCTACATGGGTCACACGGAGACTAGATCACATATGTTTTTTGAGTGTTATGTATCTTATCGAGTTTGGATGTAATGTTTTAATTGGTTAGGTGTTAGCACAATTATGCATAATAATTGTGCAATACACTTGGAACAATTTTCTGGTCTTTCTTTTTGTAACTCTCAGAAAAAGGATTGTTGGATATCTATTTGGTTAGTCATCATATGGACAGTGTGGTTGGCTAAGAATGAACTGATTTTTCTTTCACTCGAATATCTATATTGGAGATGGTAGATTTAGTTAAAATTAGAATCTAGAACTAAGGACAAGGCATAAAGATTTTAGGTATGACTTTGCTTCTTGGTCCATGAATATTCCAGCAGCTTGCCTAACTTAGATAAACGTATTCAGGTGGTAAATGAGATTATTGGAGAAATCTGATTCTGTAATTTCTATTTGAAAGTTGTGGGTTGGATGTGATGGACTAACTTAGGTTCCTAGTTTGGAACAATATTTTTAGTGGTGCATAGTACACATATCACATATGGTATTTTTGTAATGAGTTGGAGTACCCCTTGTACTTCCTTTAATTTTAATTATTTGGATTATAAAAAAAATTGACATATAATTACATACAATTTTACTGTTGATTTTGAATGAGATTAAATAATATATATTAATTGTCACTATAGTTATACCTACACCTTTAAGAATATATCAATATATTATATTTATAATGTAGGTAAGAGTAATTTTTAGTGATAAATATTGCGTTACTATAGAATGTTTCACTAAATGATAATTTTCTTGTAGTAACACGATAAAAATAAAAAATTTCAAAAATTAGAATTTCACATTATTTTTTAGCTAATTATTTATGAGATTTTTTTTTACATATTTTTCACTATGTTTATATCCTTTTGAATTTAAAAGTCAATTGCATTTTATATTTTTCATATAAATTAATCTAATGTTACAAATCTCATGTCTTAAATTAATTAAAAACTGATTCAAAATTATATTAAAAATATAAAAATTATTATTTTAAAATAATCAAATTGATTCAAATAAAAAGATAAAAGATTAAAATGATTAGTTTAATAGATAAATGATAAAAAAAGATTAAAAAAATATATAAGAAGAATCAAGTCTCTAATAAATTATTTTGTAAGTTGGAGCATTTTGCGCAACATTCACGATATTAACTGGTCCTCGTAAAAAGAATAAAGTCCTTCCTAGGACAATTTTTGCTTTTTGGCTATTTTATCAACCAAACATCAATATTGGTTGACTTGACGCGTATATGAACGGAAGAAAAAGATAACATGTTTTATGCAACGTAAGTTTTTGTTTGGCTTTGACGCATACATGATGATGAGAAAAGAAAGATAATGATGTATTCAAACATTCGTTGCCAACCCACTAAAATCAATTGCCCGCTGCATGCCAACAATTATGTCTGAATACCCATTTTCTCGGAAACAAATACAATATACATGTTCAAAATTCAGACTCATTCTTAAAGATAATACCAGCAGTAATCAAAATCACGTTAAATTAATACAAAGTATTTAAAATTTCTAATCAAAACCAAATTATTGAAACATATAGAAATAATGCCAGCAGGTACGTAAATCAATAATTACGTTAAATATTCGAATTATACAAGAATTTCATTGTATCCATAATTTTACCTGCCTCAAGAAGAATCCGAGCTAATAAAGAATACTTGTGGCTTCGTCTCTACAAAATACAAAAATAACATAAAATATATTTGTCATTCTAATAATGTTATCGTGTTTCTTTTGTTTAGTATCATCACCAAGTGTTTTTATGATCTCTATCAATTAACTAACTTTTTCATATGTATTTAAAATTTTTATTTTATGTGAAACATTATTAATAGTTAATTATATGTTATATAAAAATTAATTAAAAATTTAATGATTTCTTCTAAAAATTCATATACACAAATTTTCACTTCAATTGATATTATTCACTTTTGAGTGCAAGACTTTATGTTATAATCCAAAAAGTCTCTTATTAATAAAGGTTTTATATGTGTTTATAATTTTATGTTGATATTTTTGTTCTAATTGTAAGAAAATACATTGTTTATAACACATACACGTAGAATAATAGGATCTATTTTACATATAAATTATATTAAGTTTGTAATAAAAACTTTTAAACATACTTGTTACTGAATTGTTGAATCATAAAATTTCTCCTTATCAATGAGAATAACATTTTAAGTGTGTTCTCTATCAAACTATTAGTTTCTCTTCAAATCTTACATGAATCCACATTTTATTTTTCAAATTCTTTGAAAAGTGAAATCAAAATAAATTAATGCTTAAGAATTATATGTGAAAAAGGAGATAGAAGAGATAGTAATAGAAATCATTTTTTCCCTATGCAATAGAAAGTCATACTTACAGCACAATAAAGTTCTTCTTTCCTAAAATTAGGAAACTAGTAACATATTTTATTTTGTTTTTTCAAATAAAAACAATATCAAATATGTATTTTTAAGAGTTTGCATCCTTTTTATAAAGATTCATATTTTTATTTTATTTTTCGAATAAAAATAATATCAAATATGTATCTTTAAGAGATTACATCCATTTTATAAAGATTAATATTTTATTTTATTTTTCAAATAAAAATAATATCAAATATATATCTTTAAATATTTTCATCCCCTCTTATTTATCAGTATAAACAACACTGATCAAGTCTAATACTTTAATCATATATTCTGTATCAACTACTTTCTCCAATTTAAAATTCAAAAAATTTATATTATGTATACTCTAAGTGCTAGCAAAGAATATAATAATATTTCACTTTAAATTATTTAATTCGATCAAATTAAATACTTTTTTAATCATCAAAAGTTAAAATAATTCCTTTAACAGAGATTAAAACACTCGTTTGTGTGTGACCTTGTAAGTTCAATACTAAGCTAGTAATAAATTAATCAAATTAATATATTAATCAAGGTAGACATCATTCAATACTTTTTAACGTCAAGAGAGTATGAAGTAATATTTTATTTTCAAGAACTTAGAAGAACATAAAATATTTTGTCTATCATTACAGTTCTTAGTTAACTATAGAATATGGTATTATTGTCAAACTTCATTAAGTTAACCTATCACGATTGACTTAGAAAATTCATTTCTTCTTTCAATCAATTTTTTTGTCAAGATATTATTTTAATAATAGAGCTCAAACTCATTATCAAGAATTGATGGATTCTTTCTTGATTTATCATTAACTTTATAAGCATTTGATCATATCCAATAGAACAATGATATACGTTCCAAAATCGTACTTGGAATCACATTCCGAACATTAAAATATTAATATTTTTTAATAAATTTATTATAAAATAATTATTTAATTTAATATTTTATGAATTAAATTATTATTTTAATCATTCAGAATGATTTTCGACACATACATCCAGAGGTTCAATTATTTTTTTATTCAATATTCATTCAACTTGTATCCTAAGGCCTTAGGTGTTTGAAATTAAAATATAATAAATTACTTGTTAGTCACTTATAATCTCATGTAAATAAAAAAACATTTAGTTTTTTTTAGAAATTTTTATTGACAAATTAAGATAATTTAAATTATTAAAAATTCTCAGTTGAGTTAGTTTAAATAATCATACTCACATATGCATCATCTATATATATAATTAATAAATAAAATTATTAATATTTATCCTATAAAAACATTCATATATATATATATATATTAATCTATCCAAATTTATTGAAATCTCATATACAATAATCTTATGATAAAAAATAATTTAAATTAAAATAATAAAAGACTTTTATTTTTTATTATCATAATTTTTATTATGAAAACAAATTTAATTTTATTCAAGAATTTTATCTATTTAATAAAATTAAAAAAATAATACTTTATCAATTTAGATATAATTACATGATGAATTAGATCTTAAACATATTTAATTAATTATTCTCCAACAATAATAACATTAAATTTTGATTATTTCAAATAGCTTAAACACTTCATTAATTTCATCACTGCTAATGTTACAGGGCATTCAGGGCCCCAACCCATTTGTCCAATCACATTGTTACTCATGTGATAGAGTTCACTCAAGTTTCAGGTTAATTTAGCGTACAATTTTTTGCTCCTTTTTTTTTTTTTCTTCTTCTTCTGATAATTAAGAAACGTACGGTTTCTTCTTGAAGGCTTAGTTATTTTTTTGCCAAACTCTCACCGTACATTACGTGAAAAAACACTGTAATTTAAACATTTATATATTTATTAATTTTTTCCATAAATTAAAAATCATATCTGAATATCGAATAATTTAACGTGTAGGAGCTTTCATGCACGACATAAACTGTAGTTAATGATAGATAGTGCAATGAAGAAGGAGTGAGTGACAGAGTGACAGGCAGTGCAATTAAGATGATAACTGGTTGTACAAATAAAAAAGGGCATAGAGCTGATCAACACTCAATTCCAGGCGTAGGATAAGTAATTAGCTGCCACTGCCCTTAAACATTACTATTCAACTTTTGTTATTCCTCAAATTTTAGCTTTTGCTTTTCATACTTAAGATTTCGTTGCTTTTATCTTTACCATGATTTAACAATTATCATTCTTTTATTTTTTTCTTTTAAGTAGTTAGATATGTATATACTTTTTAATTATTTTATTTTTAGTTGGTATGAGATTTTAATTTTTTAATAAAATGAATTAAAATTTACCTTAATTTTTTCATCGGTCATTTTTAATAATTATTTTTATAAATATATTTTTATGATTATTATTTATTAATTATTAATATTTTTTAGATAATAAAATAAAAGTAATGAATTTATTATTATTATTAATAGTAAATTTCGGTGGAGTAGAAGTGCCTTAGAAATGTTTTTATAGGTTTTCTAATGAAAATAAAAAATATTTTTTAGTAAAAAAATTCTCAAAAATACTTTTAAGTTTGTATTCAATCGAGTTCTAAATATTGACTTATAAATTGAGATCCAAAGGTCATAAAATTAAAGGATTTATTCAAAAGGCATTTTTATTGGATCATATTTTTTTATGATTATTTTTTAAATTAAACATAAAATAGAAGGTTAAACATGTTTTAAATGTTTACAATATATACAAGTTTGATTTTAGTTTTACAATTATTTTTTTTCATCTTCTAAAATTTAGAATTATTGTACTTAGTGATCCCTTACTATTATGTGTTCTTTTTAACTAACATGTTTATTAATGTTAAGTGATTATCTTATATAATACTTATAATTGTCTTTGATAACATGTCAATGTGTGACACTTTTAATTTTTTTATAAATATTATTTATTTATATTAAAATAATTATTAAAGATAAAAAACAACGACATTAGATTAGAAAGATAATAAGAATCAAACAGAAACATTTTATTTTATCAAAACTAAAAAATGGTTCGTTTTTTATTGAGAAATTTAAGAAAATCAAATGAGAAATAGCTAGTATATAAATTGATTTTTAATTTATAGAATAATCTTGATCTATTTTACCTTATTTTTGTAATATAACTATTTATTGAGAAATTTATGGAAACAAACAATATAAATATATTGACCTCCTTTTTTCTCTTCCTCCGTAATTATCCAATACCTCGAAACCCTTTTATAAAATTTGTAGTCATCTTTTATAAAATGTAAATTATTTGGTATGTTCAATATGAATCTCGTGGTGACTCAGACCTAAACCCTCAAGGGTAGAGCTGGGCTCATTGTCCCTCTGTGGTTGATCATGGGCCAGGTGGCCCATTTCCATTTCATGGAGCTGAATTGAATTAGAATCAGCAACAGCCTTGGATTTGTGATGATGCTCGTCGGAGAATGAGGTTGAATCGATCTCGTAGTGGTATTGGGCCTCCGAATCGGATCTTGTCGGAGATGAGGGATAGGTGTCCATTTGACTGTGGCAGTGGCGAAGGAGTTGGGCCGGGGACGTAGGGGGCTTGGGGGTTGTGGGCTTGCATGGCAAAGAGTTATGTGATTGCAATCCACGGTTCTGCTTTACGTGCTCCTTCGCTGTGTGGTGCCACTTCCTTAAAGCCTTCGCTACTCTTCCGCTGAATATGGTTGGCTTCATCGTTGAACCCATCTGTTCTCACCCATAATCCATCAATTCTTATTCATTCTTGAATATAATCACTTTGCTTGTATTTAGGATAAAAATAATAATAATTTGTTGCTTATAATTAAGATCAAAGTAGAATATATGTTCTCTTTAAGTTAATTATTTTTTTTTTTTTTTTTATAATTAAACTAGGTAGTTACCTGTGTGACGAGAGCATAGGAAGGAAGGGTCACATAGCTGCAAAGGAATTGAACGAAGACCCTGCCACATCATCCATGTTAATATAGTACTGTTAAGTTGAGACTAGTATAGTCCTACAAGTTAAATAAGCATGGATTTAGAAAATGGGACACACCCCATTGAGATTCTGATTGCCATATCCTTTGTTTCGGAATGAAAACAAGATGTCATCCTAAACTGAAGCTAAATAATAAATTAAAACAATAAGTTCCATAAGTAATTAATTAAACGCTATAAAAAAACAAATAGTATCATTCATCAAGGATAAATGTTGCGAGCATTTATTCAGGTAAAATTGCACTCATAGCAATAGCATTTATGTATTCTAATGTGGAAAGTTACATATTTTCATTTACCATAGTAGTAGCATTACGAAATTTATTTTGCACGACTTACCGCAGTCCATGAAAAGAAGGCCATTTGAAAAGCATTCTGTTACAATGAGAAGGAAATTAAGAAATTTCATTTTAATAAATAAATACAATTGATATTATTAATTGCTTTGGAAAAAAGTGTTATGCACGTACTTGAAAGAGCACAAAATTAATGAGGTAGAGAATAAGTCGAGGTTTTTTAAACCAGAATAGGTCATCTCCAGGTTGCACTAGTGGCACGCCCTTTACTACCTCTCCTCTTTGTTCAATTCTTTGACCCATCTTTGTTATGATCACTTGCAACTTGGTTCCAACTAATAGAATGATCTGAATTTTGAAACATTATAATCATAACACAAAATGTTATTAACAATCACAGCGAAAGAAACTAATTTAACTTATTAAATATCTATGTTACTTAATTAAGATGAGGCATTGCATGTGCTTACAATCAAAGGAACAAATGGCAGCCATAGATAAGAATACCAGCCTGTCCATATTTAAATGATGTAGGGAAAATGTAAGTATATAAATCCATAATATTCAATAAAATGATTCAGCTTAGTGAGTTATAATATAAGATGTATTCACCTACCATGAGTGTTAAACAGGAGAAAAAATACCGTGATGAACCATATTGGAGGACTAAAAACAATTAGAAAGAGAACAGTTAATTATTCTATAAATTTGTAAATCAAATTCTGCCACGTGTTATTTCAAAAAACGGTTGCTATTTATGGCAGTATAAAATTTCAAAGTGAAATAAAATGAAAATAAGAAATAGATGGCACAAATTAATTAAGCACAAAACCTGATTTCGACGACAACTTTGAAGTCCTCTTCCAAAGATCTTTTGATATATTGTCGAAAGTCGAATTTCATGTGACTTTGAGGCCCCAAATGAGCCTAATCCAATTAAAGTTGTATTTCATTAATTAAGAGGACACATCAAAGAGTTTATGCCAAATTCATTTAGCTTGTTGAAATTAATTTAATTATAACCTTTCTCATTTTGTTTTAATTTTATTTGAATAAATTTCATAAAAGAATTAAAATAAGTTTCATGTTAAGTTTATAATATAAATTTTTATGCAACAAATATATAAAATAAGGTATGTTTGGATAATTTTTTAAAAAAATCTTTATAGAAGAGAAAAATATGAAAGATTTTTTTTTATATTACAAAATTAGATTATGTATAAGTAAATTTGTAAAAGTTTTCGCACATCAACTTCTTTAAAAAAAAATATTAACTTATGGATATGTTAATTTTAATTTATGAAAAAAAATATTATTTTTTTCTCTAAGTATTTTTCAAAAAAAAAAATGTAAACAAACTCTAATAAAAACTTGATTGAAATATTTGCTCAAATGACAAACAGACATTAATCAAACACTAATTAATTTCTTATTATATTGAATGTATTGTGTTAAAGATCGAAATTGGTTGCTAAGCATTACTTTACAATATTAACAACTGATTTTTTGTTGTTAAATACAATGTATTGTTATCCACCATTGTAGATAGAATAGTTTATCGTTAAGTTACTTCTCAACAAAAAGTTCAAACAATTTCTAACTTAGTCGCATTTGACGATTAATGTTTTGTGACATATTTTGGTTGTTAAAAACCATGTTTCTTGTTGTGATATATATCTTTTCTTGTTTTGACAGTATAAAAACCCATCAACTAACAAATAAGGAGATTTATGTTACAAGTTAGAGAAGATAACTATTAAAAACGATGTACACTACATCTATTGTTACATAAATCAAACAAGGTCGTGTAAGGTGAAAGAAAAAAGTATCAAACATAATTCAACTTTTTTTTTTTTGTTGGGATAAAAATCATATTATCATTATCCGTAAAAGAGAATTTTGCAGAAATTGGATAGAGCTATTAAGAATTAAAAACTTTTTTTCAAAAACATTATTGGACTTAAATTCTAAAGCTGTAAATATAATTTTGAAATTTATTTGGGCATGAGGTGAAATAATTCTGTAAAAAATGAAGTTAAGTTATAGAGAGACGGTAGGTAAAAATGGCTAGGTAGGTTGTAATGTGATTACCATCATAAATCCATGCCTCAAGGTCAAATAATCTACTTTAGGGACTGAACGTACGAACTGCCTGAAGAAACAAACCTGTATATATATTTGTATATTACAATAAGTTAAAGCAATGAAAGCTATACTATACTTTCTAGTTATAGTTTTTTGAAATGGATATATTTTTTATGGATACACACTCAGAAAATAAAAAAACGAGCATGGCTTACAATCCAAACAAGGACAAGATTTTGGGTCCAGAATTTCAAGTGCCTTCTCCCAAACGAGGTCTCCCTCGCAAATCTGAACCGTTCAGGATCTGTCATAAACAACACGCAATGTTGCACCTATAAATGTGAGTTTCCAAATGTTATGTAAATAAATACCCACCCCTCTTTCAAATTATTACAAATGTCGAAGCTAGATTTAATTAATATAAAAATATTGTTGTACTTTAATTAAAAGATCTTTATTAAGTACTAATAAATGATAGTAGTTGATACGGGAAGAGAAAGAAAAAATATTACTGATAAAAGAGGAAGATTATACGTGAAAAGAGAGTTGACAAGAGACCCGTATATATTATTAAGTGAGGACATGAATAGTAACTTTTTGAAAACAACATATAATGAATGTTTTTGAAACAAAAAAGGTAGTCTAGGACATGAATATTTTTTAAATAGGAGTATATTGGCATATGCAGAGAGAGGACAAACCGTGTGAAAATTGGTACTCTGCTGTCTTGGTTTCCTCTTCCCATCGTTTCCACCTTCTCATCTATATATTGAGTTGCAATTAAATAAGTAATATATAGTATGAGTCGTACAAGTTCTTAAAACTTAAAAGAATTAATACATTCTTACCTTTGCCCTACCCAAAGCCAGAGTAAGTATGCAGTAAAGGACGTGAAAAACAGCGAGCACAAAGATAAATATATGGAGTTGATGAATGCCCTCCGATGACACAAACGGGACTTTACCCTACACATGCATTTTTACGATGAAATAAGAATTATGTACAATTTGATTGAAAGAATTCAAATTTAAAACAAAGTTAAAATCACTACCTTTAAATGAAACGAGTGAAAATTAAGTCCAGCATACATTTTAATTTTATTTTTTTTATTTCCCTCCCTCCCTCTCTCTCTCTCTCTTCATGAGTACCTTTAAGCTTTGATGAGGATTCACATGTGGATTCTCTTCAAACCAAAAATAAGCATATATAAAACTTAACCCTGTATTTACGGCAAAGAACAATGACCCTCACCTTTGTCTTGTTGAAAGTTTTTCATGAGTGCATTCCTACTTAATAAGAAATTAACTCATACATGTGGAGAAGTCAATATCGTAGTAAATTATGTTGGCTAATATATTTTTTCAATATATTTTTTTATTAATACATGCAAGGAGAAGTCAATATTCGGCCCCATTAACAAAGGATGGGATGGGGTTCATATTAAAAGTTACCTTAGAGTGCAAGAATATTTTATTTTATTGTACTTTATTTTAGAAAATAAAAGGCAATAATTACCACAAAAATATCTAAGAATGAGTCGGAAATCAACCAAATAAATAATCTTAATATCTCATATCTAACTTGAGCCTTGAATCACATGTATATGAATCATTTTCACTATTACTTAAAATTTTTATTTTTATCTAACTTGAAACTTTTTATCCCCACATACTCATCTCCAACTCTTAACAAAATTTATATAAAGATATTGTTTTTAATTAATGTTTATATTTCAATTTCTAAATTAGTATATATTACTCTTTAATTCCTCTCTAAAGTATCCTATAAAGTCAAGTTATTCTTTTATTTGTTTAGGATGAATTTGGTATTTAAAAATTACAATTTTAAACTCTCATTATTTTGAATCGAGTATAATATTTTAACAAATTTTTTTAACAATATTATTATTTGTGATATTAATATGAATTATTTATTAAGTTGATGACTAATCTACAATAAATCTGATTGATCATAGATCTCCTTTTTTAATCTCTCTCTCACACACATATATATATATATATATATATAATTCAAAATTAAAACTTTACTTAAAAGGAATGAATATTAAAACCGACAACTTGTTACATGTCAAAAGCAATTGGAAAATAAAGCAATTGGATTATAGCGCACACACACATAATGAATAATTTTTGGAATATGCAATGATAAGCGACACACCAAATAATAAAACATACCGGAGGACACTTGTCACTTCCTCCGGCCGCCAAAATACGACGGTGATTTTGGTTATCGGAAAGTAATCTCCGGGCACTAGTGTTTTGATGATGATCCTTTGGGCAGGGGTGAAATGTGTCGGCAACCTTTTCTGTTATACAAATCCTCGATATTACACCTTGTCCTACTGTTAGTAGCAACGATATGAACCCCAATAACATAAGCTCTGCAATTAATCCAACATATTCATCAAGTTATTTCACTAAGCTTTAATATCGTCCCTTAAATGGTTCGGACGTACTCACCTGATTTGATCTTTTCAAGTGACTCGTATAGATCACTTTTCTGCTTTTGCTTCAACCACTGATCTCGCATGCATATACACACATATATGGTGTGTTAATAATTAAAAATTATAAATATATATGTTTGCATGCATATTTATATTTATATATACGTACCTTTCCTATGAGATGGAGGATGTGCTCAATGAAGATAGATATGGAGAGCAAAACAAAACAAACAACAGCCACAGCCCAAGTAGGTGTTTCCGCTAAGCTTCTTCCTTCCATGTTGCACCTTCTTAATTAAGTTGCTAGTTGCTACCAATATACGATACGTTTATTCTTCTTTTTTTTTTTTGTTCTTTTGAATTAAGGTGTATATATAAATAGATAACAGATGATGGTTGGGAGGTGCGAGGGACCATGTAGAAGCTTATAGCCATAGCTATTAGCTAGCTAGCTAGCTCCCCGATATTGAACGGAGAAAAATCTATGTTCTAATATATTAGGGGACTTCCAGTGAGGTTCAGACAAACTAGCTACCATTTCATTTTTATTCAACCAATGTATAAAGGAAGAAAGGCAACTTCTTCCACTTTATTAAACTAACATAAAACTATTGACTTTATATATATAGAGAGAGAGAGATTAGGACTAATATCTCCAAAGGTCAATTTTTTAAAAGATATTCTTATTTATAGATAAATGGAGTAGATACGTTCATAGATCGATTTGATGAAACCAAAATCTTAATTACATGTTTAAATAATATGATTGTGTCAACCATATATCGATCACTGATCACTAATTTGTATTGATATAAAGCTATTGACTTGATGCATGATGAAAATGAGAAGATATATATTTTGTTTTGGAATAAAGATTGGTTGACAACGTAAAGAAAGAAAGAAAATGCTTCTTGTGTGTCTAGCTGCGTGCTTGATTTTGCAAATTGTATCATGCATCAAAAGATTTAGCCATGAGATATAAGTATACTTTTTTTAATAAGCAATGAGATATGAGTATTTATATGATAACCATGAGCTGCTGCATCCTCATCCACGGTGCATTCTCATCCACGGTGCATTCTCATCCACGGTGCATTCATGAGGTTGATTCTAAAAAAAAGAAAAAAGAAAAAAAAAAAAGTTAGTACCAATCTATGTCGAAGCTGTCTATGTATTAAATTAGCAGAATGACGTGGAGGACTTGGGTTAATGCTGCACAATCTTGAAATGAGAGGTATTGCCGTATACTGCGTGTACTTCCATAATTGGTTCAATGCAGCCTTGGAAATGCTTAAAAACGTGCTTATTTGATATAGCAAAGAGCAAAACCCTTCACATTATCAGGAATTAAAAGCCCTAGCTAGCTATTCCACATTAAGGATTGGAGGTCAGAAAACATCAAATGTAAGTGTTTAATTAATTTTGACCATCAAAATGTATGTTCTTGGCCATTAATTCTCGATCTGAAAAGAGCAAAATACGTAGATGGAAAAATTTAGAAGAAAACAAGGAGCTGACTCCACAATAGAGCCTTTGAAGTTTGAAGAGAACATCAAATTAATATATATAGTTTATTTATTTTTTATCTACCCAAGTCATTATACAGAACATCCAAAGTCCATTGACATGACTAAAGCCAGCCCACCTCGCAGGACCACTCTCAGCCGGAATATATATGAACGGTTGGAATTGAAAAAATGATGGTGCAATTTTAATCTCTTGTTTTTCTGCTAAAATAATTAACAAACTCTTCCTTGTTGAAGACTTTGAATCAGGTTGCCCATTCTGACTCTGAGTCTCTGACCATCCACTAATTAAGCCATTATCCACTCCGGTAAAAGTTATTAATTTCAAGTAATATAGTAAGAGCCTTCTTTTTTTATAAACAATAATGGTGATTATATACGACAAAATCATTCTTCTAAATATATTTAACAACACAATTGTATATCTAAAATTTAAATTTGAGATTATTGTTTAAACTAAAATATTCTTGTACCGATTAATTTATGTGTTTGTTGGTATATAGTAAGAGCTAGTGAGAGGTATACAATATATTTTTACCCTTAATTTGTAAAATGGTAGTTGATTAGATTATATTAATTACTTTTTTACTTTTCCAATTGTGATTGCATATTTTATCCTCATTATCATGTCATCCAGGAGCTTGCACGACACTATGATTTAGTCTAAAATTAGAGAAATAATTGTCGGATTTGGGTTCATTCATGATTTTGAATCAATCTTCATATAACATATAATTATTATTTTTTATTTTATACAAAAAATAAAAATAATACTTGGAGATTCATCCGAACCATGTGATTTCAGATTATACGATAATTTTTTCTGAAACTTATGGCAGTTAGGCTGTTGGGCAATTAACGACTTAAATTTGCCACAATGTCAAAAGTGACTAAGGTTGTAATAGGTATTCTACTTTTACCATAACTTGAATAGTTGAATTCTCAATTAATCCAAGTATATTTCTTACCTTATCCGATCTCCAACATTATTAGGATAAATTTTTAACTTGGATTCTTTTAATTTAGTGAACAATTTAACCCTCCATAACAATTTCCCAGATACTTCACTTGCTAAACACGTATATGAACTTTATAAGTCCTATCGCAAGCTTTACTAGTGAACTAAAAGGGAAACAGATAAGAAATTCCATTTTTTGTTTAATATAATTAAATATAGTAGTGGTTATATGTTTTAAAGCATTTTGATTAATTAGGAATTAACAAGGAAACTTGGAATATAGGCTTTCTCCATTTTTAGTTTTTCTTCCCATTAAAGTAGGGTGTTATTTATTTATTTGTTTTTATCAATAGAATGTTAGGTTTTAACTTTTCAATTTTACTTTTTCCCTAAAAAATAGTTTTACTTTTACCGCGTAAAAGGGATATACATGACAAATTAATAAGATGTGAAATATGAGTAATAGCCTTGCGATGATATAATTGATTAAATATCTTTACTCTTATTATTAAGGATTTGAGATTAAATTTAATTTAATTTTATATTATATATATTTTTATGTAAATTTGTATTAAGACTTGCTTCATATTTTATATCCTTAAATATTGGAGATGAAATAGATGATTTGTAATTCCACTGAAAATCTTGCATACATTATTATAATCTAAATATTTTGTATAAAAATAAAAATAAAAAAAAGACATGATGCATACATAGTCTTGTGATTCATAAATGGATCTAAAATCTTTAAAATCTCTTACCCTTACTATGTTTCTCATACTAAGCATAATATTTTTATGGGTTCACAGTATGAAAAAATTTACACAAATCATTTATTCATTTATACCTTTAAACTCATAATATTAAGCATATATATAGTCGACGAAAATGAGTTTGGCTTCCAAAAACAAACACAAATGATAAATAGTATTATTATCATTTATCAGAGAGCCCATCCATAAGATAATTAATTGATGGGGTGTAGTGGGATCGACCAAATTGTGGAGTCAACATTTGGGGACCATCATAATTCATAGCAAAAACTTGGGGCATTCCGAGAATTGAACTCGGGACCTCTCGCACCCTAAGCGAGAATCATACCACTAGACCAAATGCCCACTTGTTTGAAGTGGCCATACATTAAATTTAAATACCATTTAATAACAAACAAATTATAAAGAAAAAATAAATAAATATTTTAGGCTTAAATATGTTTTTAGTCCCTCAAATTTAAGATAAATTTATTTTTGGTCCCTTAAATTTAAAATTGTTTTTAGTCTCTGTAATTTTTAAAAATTTTATTTTAGTCTCTTAGGTCACCAATAACATATTTGAAAGTGATAATTAAGACAATTATACAATATCAACCAGATTTAACGTAATATTTTCACTAATAAGGACACCAATAGGCAGATTTTATGTAATAATGTTTGATAAATTTCTTAACAAAATTTGAATATAAAGATTAAAATAAGATTTTTTGAAATTATAGGGACTAAAAACAACAATTTTAAATTTGAGGGGCCAAAAACAGATTTACCTTAAATTTGAGGGACTAAAAACATATTTAAGCCATTTTTTCTTTATTTTTCATCTCCTAAATTTTATAAATATAATTTTTATTCTTTTGTAAAATATTTTTGTCCTTATCGAAATCAAAACTTGTTTATTTTGAAAAGACTAAAAATATATTTAAGTTTAAAATATTTTTTAAATTTTTTCTTAATTTTCAATATACATTATATTTAAATAAAATTTATTTATTTTATGTTTTGAAATATCTAAAACATAAAAATTGAAAAGACTAAAAATATATTTAAGTTTAAAATATTTTTTAAATTTTTTCTTAATTTTCAATAAACATTATATTTAAATAAAATTTATTTATTTTATGTTTTGAAATATCTAAAACATAAAAATTTTAAATATGTAAAAACTTATATTGATACTGAACTTATTTTTAATGTTCAATTTTTAATAATTATTAAATAATTTAATGATGATAAACATGTAAAATAATTAAGAATCAAATCCACATAGGAATATTTACCGTAAAAAGCAGTTCATATAAGAATATAATTAAAAATAAAAATCAATATTCCTTTAAACTTTAAAACTACAAATAAATAAAATGAAGAAAAAAAAAAGTTATTACTTATATCACACCATTGAAATTGGACTCATATCAATCAATTTTTTATTATATTAATTATGTACAAAATTAATATTTTACCCTTACAATAAGAATAGAATGACTAAAATAATACAAAACATAATTCGTTAAATTATATTAAGAGTATTTCTAATGGGGTTGTTTACTGTACCACATCACTGTCAAATTAGTTCTAGCTTACTTTATAATTTGCTTAAATTTTAGCAGAGTTACTTATAAAGTGAGCCAGAACTGATGTAGTAATGATGTGGCATAGGAGATTGCTTATAAACAATCTTCATTGCAAATACTCTAATTGAGTAATAATAGAGACTTGAATGCTTAAAGTCAATGCAAGAATCTGGAACTGAAAAGTAGTGATGTTCCTACAACCACGTTGGAATTTTAAATGTGGTTCTTCGTCTTCCATTCGTTATGCGGACCATATACTAGTGATCCTAAAACCATATTATATGTAAGAATTTAACTCAGATTCTTAATCTTTTAATAGCATGTTTCTTTGCAAAATTTATTGACTATATGTGTCATATGTGTATTTTTTATTAGAGAGACCGAGTCCTACAAGATATTTATTAATTTTTATTTTAATAATAAAACCTAGTTTAAGTTATTAAATCATTTTA